AGCAGCGCCGCCGTGAGCAATAGCGTTGTTGTGGGCTAGTGATTTCATTCTCCGTCACGATCGAGCCATCCCAGCAGTCGTCTGTCCTCCAATCGTTCGGCATCATCTACAAGGCTGACGACGATATTCCAGGGCTTTCTACTCCCTTGCGTGAACCAAACACACCTCGTATTCAATTACCACTAATCTGATACTGTGTATTCTCATTACAACAGTGAATACGTTACCTGAGCTCCAACTAAACGCGTCGTAAATGCAGCCTAGAAAGTAAGGTGAACTACATGAAACCGTAACTAATACCGGTTTTTTTTGCCTAGGTAACTTGAATAAGAGGACTTTCTGGCTGCTCTCATCTAAAAAAAAGAGGACTTTCTGGCTAGCTGGCCGAGTCCCCGAAAATTCGTAGGAGCGCTCATCCTCGCATGCTCACGATATCTTCACGCGCTCGTTCGTATCGGGATCAAAGCTGACGGCCGTATTAAGTGTGGTATCCAGCGCGTACGGTCCAGTATTATTGTAATGGGGAGTATCGTATACTAGTATTATACATATGATACTAGTCTATGATACTATATTTTTAATGCATAGTATCATACGTTGGTATCATAAAGGACTATATTTATTGTCATGCATGACACAAAGTAGCACATCATTTAATATGATATGGTATCATGATACGATACGGTATCATGATATGATACTTAAGCCTCTCTTTTTCTTCATTTAATTCTATGTCATCTCATCAAAATTGCTTAGTTGGCATGCATGATACTATCTATGATACTTCCATTACGGGCAGCCTTAGGTGCGAGGAAAAACTGTGTTGGCCCCACAGCGGAGCGTCGTGCCGCCTGGACAGAACGGCGGGCGCTGTCAGCCCACATCCTGTACCGACCGCACAGGGAGGACCCTCCGTCATGGGCCGTATTCGAATTCAAACAACCCATATTTTGCCCTGCCGGCCTGCCCATCATATAGAAGGTGACCTCGATCGTATCGGAGAGCATGCTTGCCCGCTGGCGCATAGGACCAGTCATTTCCATCAGGGAATAAATAGAAAACCGATTCATTAGACACAATGACGATTAGGAGAACAGAACATACCTCGTTGACAATCATCATTTTTCGCAATACTTGTACAATCACCACACCGACTACCAGGGTGACTTATTTTTCGAGTGACACAGGGTTACGTAAAATGTACACAGCTTTAGGAAAATCGTACTACGTAGCTCACAAGACAGCATCAAATTTTTTTTTGCGGAATAATTCTTGTATTACTCAATCAAAACACGGTTACAGTCATGCTTAATAGCGTCCAAAACGGCATCTGGTCCTGACCCAAGCCATACAGCAATTCGGCCTTGAGTCCTCCCAAAGTTGGCCAAAACATGACTATAATTATTACAACTACGATGGATATGAGTAATACAAGAACTACGTTCGGCCAAAACAAGACAGCATCAAATTGTACAAACCGAACCCAAAACTAGCAACAAAGCGAGTACATAATAGTCCCCTCCAGCCGGATTGGTGTTTCAGCAGGAGGCACTGCATGAAGCACGATACTACTTCGGTTTCCGCACGTGTTTCGCTAGTGACCACCTACACCACAGTTGGTGCATTTCGGCTCGATCCCTCCCTGGTTTCTTCAGCATGTCACCTCTGTGTGGGGTGTCTCCACATGACTCCCATAAAATCCATGACTTGTAGCGGAATAGCATCATTAATCGAGATGCCGCATGTTGATCCAATAAACACCGCCGCCACAGGAATGAAGCAATTGAACAGATTTTATGTACCTTCAGTGAATGACAGCACAATATTCCCGTGTGCTCGAAGTTTCAACACTCGCATAGAAACTGATCACCCCCTCCATCAACTGTGGCCTTATACACCACCTTGCATCATTTGCCATGCCTCTCCGGAAGGTGCCGCCGCACTAGGTACTTCACGCCTTGCTCAACCAGTTCGACCTTGTAGCTCACCAAACTTCTTGAACGTGGGCCCTAGTGTACACTTCACTCGCATGCTGCTCCAATGGTGTGTTAGCTTTCTCACCTGTACTGCCTGCAAATTCATGACATGGGCTCCACAGGTTAGAACCCTCGCCGCCCGTATGATTGAACAGCATAATTTATGTAGGTCCAAACCAAGAAACAGGAAAAAACGGAAGTACATGTGCAGGACGATGAACACCGCTTCCGAAACTGGTTATGCGTTCGAGGCAAAGTACATCTTTGTTACAATGTTCCACCAGATGCAGGAAAACCATAGGCCTTGTTTGGTTATAGGGGAACCAATCCCATAGTGGAATTAATCCACCCAGTGATTAGGTTGATCCCCTACTTGTCAGCCAATCTGTGGGGGTTGATTCCCTAGCAACCCTGCAATCCCTGCTATTGATTTAACTATTTGGTTAATCCCAGCTGCAGTATAACCATTCAAACTGATCATATGCGAAACTGCTCATCCAACATTTTGCAATTGTAGCAGTATTAAGCACACAATCTGATGTCTAAGATTTCGTAAAATATAGCACAACAACATTAAGAGATTTCACAAATATAGGAAGTAGTAAGCATTCAAATTGTCCGGCATGAGAAAGAATTATCTTCTCGAAGAGCAAACAAATGAGAATCTGTGAACAATAAAAAAAAGGAATATGTTTTACGATAACAACAAAATGGGCTTTCATATGGGCCGAATGTTTATTCTCAGATTTATTATGGAAAACTAGTGGCGAAAGCAGAACACACTCTGCAAAAAGCTTAAGTAAAGAATTATTTAGTTCCTCTCCCATCACCTTGCCAAGCCTCGTAGCCTCCTTCACCATCTTATGTAGTCATCGCGAGCTCAAACATAGTGTCAAATACCCAAATTCTTGCAACAAACAATTTTTTTTAAGGAAATAGCAGTAAAATTTGTAATGGGATCTCGGTTCATGGCCTCATATACCGAACATCAGATCAAACCCGCAACAAATATGAGGCATCTTTTTTCTGGATGCTATATAGACCAAACCGTGACAAATGTGATGCATCTTTTTACTGGAAGCTACATAGATCAAACCCGCGACAAGGGTTAAAGTTAATTCGTGTGAAGTGAAAAGATACACATATATAAATTCAAAGTCTTGGCATGCATGAATTCAGAGTGCAAAATGATCTTTGCATGAACAAGCACATGCAAACACTTGACAAAATGAATGTCAGCTTATCCATTCTGCAAGAAAATATCCAAGAGAAAAATTGGCTTTGTTGGCAGCTCAGAAGTCATCTAATGTATGTGCAAGAACTAGCAAACAATAAGACCAAGGAGAACTATCTGTGAACTGTTCAGGTTTTGCTAATACTAGGCAGCGGAAAAAGGTTTTTTTCAAGCGGACATGTGTGACGGGAGTTACCATGCTGTACAAAAGGTACTTCAATTCTAAGTCTAACAATTAGTATCAAATAACCATGGACTGCTGATAAAACTAAGGCCAATTAACTGCATTTGAAGTGGATGGAAGCTGACGGGAGTCACCTGTTTGAGCAGGGAGGGCTCGGTGTGCTCAACACAGCTAAATTCGCAAGAGCGCTTCGGCTAAGATGGCCTTGTTTTGAGTGGACGGAGCCCTCAAAGTTGTGGGTGGGCATGGGCAGCC